TAGCTACTACTATTAGAGTCCCCATAAATTATATAAGTTGTTGATAAGCAACAATTTTTCACTATTTCGATAGCTTCATAATATTGATTCCATCTTAATAGAAAAAAAAATTTACATCAAAACAGAAATAATTTTTTTATTTCAATTCATAAATATAATTTCGAAGACTATTTTAAGAGAATAATGTAATTTCTTTTTCTTATTAACGGGAAAAAAATCTATTATATTTGAACAGATTGGTACGAGCGAAATGAGTCTGTGTTTGGTTTCTAAATTAAAATTTACGAAAGGAAAGATTTAGTCTAAATTGCTAGTTATTACTAATAGTCTAAGTTAGAGTTAAATCTATTATCTTGAAAGGTTATCAAAGAACTTTTCACAATATGATATGAAATGAAGTAAACAAGGCTATTATATGAAATTAAGTTTCCTAATATGCAAAAATATTGCACAAAAAACACTGAAAATTTTTAAAAAAATACTAAACAGCATTTATGTTTTTTTCTTAATGTTTAAAAATAAATATCAAATTGTAGGATTACCAAAAATATGCAATGCAATATTTACACCCAATTATAAACCAACTGTCATAATCTGAAAGCGAAGATTTTAAAAAAGAATTAGTAATGGAATTTGTATTGTGATATCTGCTCTCGAAATTAGAAGCTTTTATTCACTGCATTTCGCAGTTTTATTCCAGTTTAGTTCCAATTACTATTTCTTAAACTCATCCAATAGCAGAAACCTCTCATTTTGGTAATAACTACAATGGTCATTTTTTTGGAGAGAAAATAAGGTGATAAGCGTGCCAAAACATCTGCCAAGAAAATGCAGAGGCAGGTGTTGATTAGCGCCAAGTGTCACACGTCAAAACAGGTCCCACCAGGTGAATGATAGCCTTCCTTATAACCCTTTTTACAGTATGAGCCCTTATTGCGGGCACCTGCTCCACGAAAAAAAGTTCTGGAGACAATTATATTTAGAGATGACGTCTAATTGATGTGGCGTAGCATTCAAATGTGCTGATTGAGTCCGGAAGCGATTGATTAAAAAGGTACTAAGTTTTGTTTTGCGATCTGATGCTTAGAAGTTTTTGTTTCAGTATTTATTGAAATGCAGCTGGTGAAAATATCCAACAGAATTGCTTTCAATAATTGCTTTAAAGATTTTTAGTCTTCAACTGATTATCTTAAACTATCGATTGCAACTCGTGGAAAAGAATTTCTGGAGGGGAAAAAAAATAAAAGATCACAATGCAAAACTGAAACCTTGAGTAATGTTCAGCGAAGTTCATTTTAAAAGTTAGACTAATTTGACGATCGTTTCGGTTCGGGTCGTTGAGCTCGAATTTAATGTAAATGAAACTTTTATATGGATGCAATTAGATATTTTTGTAAAAATTAATGTAATATACAAGGAATAATTTGAAGTATACAGAAAGGAACTTTGAATATTTTGGTCCAAGCCCGAATTTAATGTAATAGAACTTTAACTTGAAGGTTATTTGGTATTTCTATGAAAATTAATATAATATAGGAGGAATAATTTGAAGTATACAGAAAAGAACTTTGAATATTTTGTCCCAAGCCCGAATTTAATGTAATGGAACTTTAACTTGAAGGTTATTTGGTATTTTTATGAAAATTAAAAAATAATATACAAGGAATAATTTGAAGTATACAGAAAGGAACTTTGAATATTTTGTCCCAAGCCCGAATTTAATGTAATGGAACTTTAATTTGAAGGTTATTTGGTATTTTTATGAAAATTAATATAATATAGAAGGAATAATTTGAATTAAATAGAATGGAACTTTGAATATTTTATCCTGAGCCTGAATTTAATGTAAGGAAGCTTTTCATTTGGATGTAATTAGGTGTTTTTATGCGAATAGCAGAAATAAATTAAAGAATACCGAACGGAACTTTAATTTGGATGTAATTAGATATTTAAGAAAATTAATGTTGAAGAATACAGATCGGAACTTCGAATATTTTACGCGTTTTATAACGTATAGTGGTATTATAATATGTAATGTATTAATTATTGTCTTGTTAGAGGTTAAACTTGTGATGTATTAAAAATAACAAAAAGATATGACACGCTTCATTTTAATACAATTAAATGAACACTCGTTGAAAAAGTATTATTTGTATCGATTATTATGACACAATAAGCTAAGTGTATTGGAATTAATAAAAAAAAATCTTCTTGAGTCCTAATTATTTACTTTAAAAATATAAAATGTTAAAAGATCCTTTGCACAAGCTTCTAATTATTCCATGCATATTTAACTTAAATTTTAAAATAACCTAGTAACTAGATTTGAATTCTGTTTACTTTAAATCGAATTCGAGATCAGTTTTGAATTGCGATCCCAAAGTTCTTTTTTTTTCCGGCGCTTGATTTTTTCTGGGTAAGAGGTCTTTCTTAAGACAGAGTAAACAAATTTGAAAAGTAAAAAAAAAACATGTATTGTAAAATATTTTTAAAGCTACTCCAAAAAAATAAATCTGTGAAAAGCGAAGAAAACTGGCAGTTCATGACAAGAATTTCTCCGTTTTATAAATTCAAAATGCCCATTTTCAACAAAGATTTGCCATTTTTTCCAGTAAAGGTTCAGCAAATATATCTGCTTCTTATGAAATTTAGGTTCAAAATCTTATTTTCCTCAAATACATATTTTCTCATCTTAACTATATTTTTTTTCTTTATTTCTTTTTAACTGAGATTTTTCTAGTATGTTCAGTGACTAATCAAATATTGAATTTCAGATCAGAATCAATTTACATAAATTGAGAAATATTTAGGGAAACACAAAGAAAAAGACGTGAATAAATGGATACTTTTAAAAAAATGTTTTCAATATTTAATAAATTTTCTCTTTTTCATTAAGAATTATCTCTCTACAATTCCACAACTGAAAATAATGAATTCAGTAAAAATGTTCCTTTTAGAAAAGAATCCAAATTTTTTTCCTTTCAAGCTTTAGAAGTTTGCTTAAAAACCCGCTTTAGAATTTTAGAATCTAAAAGTTTATGAGTGCGAGAAATGCAGTTAAGATTTGTGCTAAACACAATAAAATAATATTTAATATCTTATCTTCTAAACTAAAATTTATTTTCAAATATATAGTAGAGTAAAAACAATAAAACTGTATAGAGTATCACCTGATAATAAGGATTTTACATAGAATCTTACAGTGAGTCTAATAATTTGGCCAGGGACTGTATAGGTCCGTCAAGGGTTAAAATAATGAAGAGAAAGAATGCTAGAGTTCAATACGCTTCGAATATACGGGCCTCACTATTCAGTGGTGTTTCTTTTAATGACCGATACTAAACTTGCCTTTCCCATCACGTCGAAAATGTGTAAGAAACAAAAGCTTATAAGGCCTCTCTTGTAACCTTTTTCTACGGTAGTTCCAGAGAAAATAATAAAATTTATCTCGTCGGATTCTAGCATAAAGGGGCACTCCATACATATTTTTTTTTATCTCTTTTAGTTAAAGGGATAGGGGAAGATTGGGCTTTTCGATAGATATCACTTTATCTCTGCTATCAATCTTTTGCCCTACACAAATATTAACTCACTAGTGTCTTGCAGAGGAGATAATCAATCTGTTCTAACCCCACTTCAAGCAAAAGTGAAAAAAAAATTTTTTTTCATTTTCAAATTTATAAAATATATAAATAATTTCCTACTTAGTGCATTGAAATCAACAGAAAAGAAGAGCACCGATTAGAAACTATTTTTTGCTTCTTCAGATAAATATACACGAAGCTCGTTAGTTCAAAATTCATAAATGAAAAGGTACTTCAATTTCACATTGAACGTCACGTGTGTTAAGTTAATAATTGCATCAAACAAAAATATTTATCAAATCAAATAAAACAAAAATAAGCAGATATTAAACTTAAGAACAAGTGCCTAGAAAATATTTTTAGTTATAAACAATGTATTGTTTATAATTGTTTAGTTAAAAACAATTCAAATGAAAACATTTCAAAGGAAACATTTTAAGTTTATTAATTAATCGGCACAAATAATAATTTAAATTGAAAATAAAGCACAATTAATAATAGTTCGGATTTCCGACATTCGAAATAGAGGTTTGCTGTCATTTTTTGCAACTAATAATAATTTCAATTATTGACTATTTTTTAAGATTTATTTCTAAATATTTTTGAATAGTAAAGCTTAGTAAAATTTTACATCCTAAATTACATTTATTTAAAATGACAAAATTCAAAATTAAAATGAAACAGGTTGAATGGTCAAGAAATTAAAATTTAAAAAAGAAAGTCTGATAATTAAGTTTTTATTTCTCATAAACTGTCCAATCAATTTTACTTAAAATTTAAATTTTGGAAGCTAAAATTAAATTTTTTAGATGAAGTTAAAATGCTTATATCTTACGATTTAAATATTCTTACGATTATTGTTAAATATTTATCATTAAAAATTATTACACACTTTTGTTTAGATACATTATAAGTAAAGGTTAAAATTTAAATTATTTAAGTTTTAAAAATGTAAATGTTTTTTACGAAAAAAAAAGGAAAATAAACATTATGTTAACAGCAAAAGGCATCCCGAAATTATTCCATTTACAAAAAATTGCTTAAAACCAAGCGAGATGAACGCGTAAAAAACAACAATACCTAATGAATACGAAAATCTTTCTTTTTAATTAATAAATAAAAAAAAACTTGGAAGAAAAATAAATGAAACAAGAAAGGAAATAAAGTTACGTTACAATTATGCCAATTATAAAATTTAAAAAAAAAATCAATTAAATAAGTTAAGGGCATAAAAAAGCGAGAGCATTTATTTTAATAATTACCATTTTCAACAAGCAACATTCTTCCATGTTCATCACAGTTTTTGTTACATTTTAAAACAAACTATTTAAAAATAGTAATTTATCTTATTTAATTAAAGTATTTTATCGACCATTTTCTCGAAAACTATTCATTGATAAAAAATTTTCAATTTACCTGTTGCCACAATTGACAAAAGCCTCTTGAATTATTTATGCCGATGACAGTGTGTGTTTTAAGCCCATTTTTTATTCCAAAACCTATAATTATCGTTTGCGACGGCGGTGGCCGTGAAACTCCCAAGCTGATCAACCAAAACCAAAATCGGCGCTTTTAGTAGGATAAATAGAAAAATGATGAATTAATGGTAATCTTCTATTTCTTATAAATTTGAGTGCAGAAAGTAATATTGTTTTCAACTAGATCTGATTTGAGAAATCACGTGAGGCAGGTGTTAAAAAATAAATGCTGCCATCAAAGCAGGTGGGCAAACCCGCAGGGGTAGTACGACAACTGTCTCTTATTACTTGAGGGAATGCCATTTTATTTGTTTATTTATTTTTCTATTTTGTTTGGCTTGATTCTGCTGCTTTCGGGCTACCTTCTATGTCAGGACTGGCAGCTGTTTTGCATGTTGCATAAAACTATCTTTCATATTATGGTTTCTCTGAATATATTATTTTAGTTTCAAATATCAAATGAATCGATTCCCTAATCTCAGCCTCTCTATAATGAAACCATTTTAAAAAAAATCTATATATTGTTACATAGCTGAACAGCAAATTTAAGAGAGAAGTTTCGAAGCTTTCTGATCTGGCATCACTATTTTAATATTTTTCCCTTTCATTGTCAAGGAATGAGTTTGGTCATGCCAAGGTATTTAGTCTTAAATTTGTTCAAACTCGTGTGTCGGTTTTAGAAAGGTTACGAAAAAAACATGATATTAAAATGAGAAATATGATTCTTTTGTGTGCCGGGCAATGAAATTTTTTTTTTCCTAAATTATATTATAAAATCATATACTTTGTTGGAAATTTCTGGGAAAAATGGTTAAAGAAACAATTTATTTTATTGTTATTTAACCATATTTAAGCAAAATTTCAAAATGAAAATGTTATTCAAACAGTTTACAGTGAGAAAAATAGTTTATTGACTGTAGTCACCTGATGTGGTTAAGCAACCAGAGTTGTATTCGCTATTTATTTATAAACTAGGCTTTCAGTGAAAGCTGTAAGCTAAGCCATGTATGTGATAACGAATTAAGAGTTTTATTTTCCATCATCGAATGCTTAACATAATTAGCATATGCGTTTGTAACAGTAATAAATGTGTGGTGAAAACCTTATGAAGCCACTTAGTTCCTTGCTGCTGGGTACATATTTAGCGAGAGGGTCAATTAGTTAATCTCATGACATGCTGAACGGATCTTTGAATCCCAGCGTTGACACCGCAATATCTCCTCAATTCTTTTAACACATCAATAGTTTCCAGTGTCCTGCACTCCTCAATTGGTGATCCCGCACTATTGCAATACGAAATTCGCATTCACACATATATGTCAGCACCATAGAGCTGCATTATACAAAAAGTCTAGTATTTCGCCTCTTTTACGATAGATGGCTCCACTTTATGAACTAACGAAGCTACATTTTACGGTTAATTCGACTGCAACCTAACTCTATGTCCAACCGAACGAAAAGGCTAACATAACCTAACTTCAATGTTCAGTTAAATTTCAATTTTACAGTTTTGAAACTATGTTAATAGTAAATGCTAGCAAAATTGCATAGTTCTGCATTCATGAGTTTTTAACCGTACCATTTGTAAATGGTCTCAAACCTGTAAAGAAATGATCCATAAACTTATCGGTTAAGTGGATGAACCGATTGCTGCTTTTTTTTTTACCGTAATTGTAGAATGATAAGTCTAACATTGTATGATTTAGTTATATTTTACTTTAATTAGTGAAGATAATGAAAAAAGTATGAAAGGGGATAGAATAATTTCTAAAGATTAGTTTTCCGCTGACAATAAAAATATGTTTCAGCATTCAGTAACTACATTACGTAAGTGAATTTAGTAACTAAAAAACAATAAATAAAAATGTATCCAAGACCATAAGTTACAAGTCTATAAATTTATTTCTTAAAAAACCCTTTATCAATGTACTGTACATAAAAAAAAAATATTTCTCTGAAATTTCAGAAAAAAAATTACTCATAACATCCGAATCAGAACTTTTTTCTTCTTCTAGAGGCTAACAACCATTACTCATGTTGGCCGCGCCCTTTCGTTCATCTCGTGTTCCATTTCGCACCTATTTTTTTCGCTGAGAATAATCTCACTATTAACCTTTGCTCACTCCCCCAACCCCCTCTTTTTATGAAATTTCAAAAAACATTACCCTGCTTTTTCGAACGTTTCGCTAGTTTTTCACTAGTTCGTCCATTCAGAGAAATCTTTTCCCATTATGAGTTCGTGATGATAATGGTGAAAGTTTGTTATCCTGAAAGTGAAGGAGAGCGGCGATTTCTCCATCTTTTCAAAAAGAAAAAATTAATGGAAAGTTTTGAAGACTTTCCTTTTTTGGAGCCTCCATTTTTTAAGAGATCATATTTTCTTTCTTGCTTTTCAATTTAAATTCAAATTATTTTAATTTCGTAAATGTGTATTTTTTTTTCCGATTGCTTCTTTTCCGCAGATTTTGTTTTTATTTCCATTTTGTCCATAAATAGCGATATTTATAGTAGCATAAAATATTATTTCATGTGTTTAAAAGATTACGTACAATAATGAATACAAAACATGATTTAAAAACATATTTCTTATTACAAAATTAATTTTATTATATTTAACATCAAGTAAAAGTTTACTTATCTGCAAAATGTTGTATAAAGTAATAGTCGAAAAAAATTTGAATTGTAGGGCATAAAATTCTTACATCATTTTAAGGAATGTAATTTTATATACCAAAATACAAAATTTGAGCAAAATCGGTCGAATAGCTCCTGAAAAATTGAATTTCAAAGAAGTCTGGTATTTAAAATTCGATTTCTCAGGAACTATTCGATTGATTTTGCTCAAATTTTGTATTTTGCTACATAAAATTACATTCTTTAAGACCATGCAAAAATTTGTGTACCTTACAATTCAAATTTTTTTCGACCCTTCTTAATTAAAATAATAAATTTTTACAAAAAGTTATGCATGAAATTATCTTTGAATAAACGAATTTAATAATTGTGTGTAAAAAATTTTGAATTCACTTAAGAAAAATTTCGAGATATTGCGACATACCCAAAAAGTAAACATAACATTAAGGGGTCCAAACTTTGGAGCGCTCTCTTCGCCTAACTAGTGAGGATTCTATTTCCCAGATTACGGCTACCCCCTCCCCTATATTTTGGGAGTCAGAAATCCGAATCATTCGAAAAAATATATGTTTATTCAGAAAAAGTGCGTTTGTACAGTATTCAGAAAACAGTTGAGACTATATTTTCCAGATTGCGGCTATCCCTAATATTTTCAGGGTCAGAAATCCAAATACATCAAAAAATAAGCATCTTTATTCAGAAATAGTACGCTTTTGAGTCTGATTTCGTAACTTAAAATATAGTCCGAACTCCAATTAGCATATTTGAGGTCACTCCCTTGAACCATTAAGACTGAGTCCTAGTACATGAAGATTCGATCATTGGATCAAGAGTTACAAAGTTATTGAGGGTGGCCCGTTGTTTATTTTGTGCACTGTACATCATTAACCCTTCGACGCAGATGGGACACTTATTATTTCCCATAAACAAACATAAAAGGGACACCGAACATACATTAAATCGACAAGCAACCACCGAAGCAGACACCGAACATATATACATAAAAGTGACTAATTACGAGTAAAAATATATTTTAGTATTTTTTGTTAATTATAAAAAAACAGTCTAATAATTACTAAAAAAATCTATGAAATTATCAGAATTATATTTGTACTAAAATATGAAATCCAAAATAAGTCCGTTTGAAATTCTTTTTTCGTTCATATTCAAAAATGTATCAATAATTGATTATGAAAACTAAAGTGATTTTAATGATGAATATTTTTTTCTCTTAGATCTAAATATAACTACAAATAAATGCATGTCTGGAAAACTATTGTATAGATGTGATGTTTGGAAGATTTTACCTCTAACCCCTTAACGGTCGGTTAATTTTCAAGAAAACGGTCATAAAAATGCCTATATTTTTGGCTTTTGTATTTGTATTATGTATTTGATTAGAGCTGTAATCTAGTTTAAAATAAACTAACTATCTTCAATTACCTTAAAAATATCCTGGTATTGCCATCTGGTGTGTAAAATGAGAAATGAAATGTTTTCCGGGCAAAAGAAATGAATTAGTTCTCCTATCTGCTCGTTACTACTGAACACTCCAGCCCGTCAATATCACGGGTGCGAGAAGCAGAAAAATACATCGGTGTTTCAGTGCTGTATTTCATAACCATGAATTATTACAAATGCTAAATAAAATTTTACACTTATTTAGACCTGAAGTAATACAAAATAAGGAAAAAGAATGAAAACTGTGTTTAATGAAAATTCAGCATCAAAGGGACAAGAGAATGATGATGGGTGTATTTACCATTTTCGAAAATTATTTTTTGTAGTTAGAAATCTCTTTTAATTAGAACATTTCACAAGTATGTAACTCTCTTATACTATCTTACACCATTATTTGATTTTTTATTTACTATTTCCATAAAAAAAATTTCAACAACCCTTTTGGTTGCCATTTTCTATCTGCCTTTAATCCAGGAATCTGATATAAAAGCGATTAAAATATCCCACCCCCATAAAATACAAAACCACCCCGCAATCATCAGTAACTTAAGTATGGCATCCAATAAAAAATATCAAAATTAAATCCTCCTACCCTTAAAAAAAACATCTGGCTAAGTTCCGAAAAATGATCAGGAGATGTAAGGGGTCAATCAAATTCATCCACCTACCCTATGGTACTAAGAGCCAAAGTAGGACTCATGGGCGCCATTTGCGGGGGAGGGAGGCAGGTTGGCATATGTTCCCTCAATAATTAGAAATCTACAAAAGGTCTCTCCAATATTTCTGACAAATAAAGAAAATTTGCGTGAATTATCATCAAATTAAATTGCTTACACTTAAAAACAAGATAAAAGAATTTGATTTTTTGCAGATATTTAGTGTACTGCAGAATTTCTTTTTTTTTTTTTTTTTTTTNTTTTTTTTTTTTTTTTTTTTTTTTTTTTTTTTTTTGTGAGTGAAAGTTTGAAAATTCTTGTGGGTAATTTAATTTCGTCCCTCTCAAAAATTATGACCCCCCTGCTAGCCTATGATAGAACTAGCTGTCTTTTAAATCAAAGAAACCTCTATCTGAACTGCACTATTTCAAAAACAAGGAAATCATTTGAGTAAAATTTAATAAGACGATATAATATTTAATGAGATAAAATTCAATACGATAATATTTAATAAGATAATATTTAATAAGATAATATTTAATAAAATGATATCTCAACAATTTGAATCGTTATCGAAACAACTGCCTTACTACATAATATAAGAAACTCATTCACTGATTCATTCATATTCTCATTTATTCTCACGAAGATTAATCCAACATTAAAATAATGTATCGGTTTGTTCCAGATTTTGTACAAAATGTAATGTTTGAACACAAATTTACCAATACATCGTTTCATTTCAGTTTTATCTCTAGGAAGTTCGTATAAGCAACATTTTTGCATGAATATGCATAAAGCCCTAACAGAGCTATGCGCGAGATTAATTGAAGTGGTGTAAATACAATTTCACACCTGGTTCCTTATGATACGACTTTGGCTTCCTACTTTAAGATTGACAATGCAAAAGGAGTCAGAAATTATTGCTGCAACAGCCGAATTGGAGATAGTCAAGCCATTCAAACGTGCTTGGAATTAAACAATTGTTTANGGTCTCT